CCGCCGTTCTCATTTCTTCGTTGACTTAGACGCAGATGCCTTCCTTTCCTCTGCCAAAAAGTGTTCCGTCCATTTCTTCTTCCATACCTCGCGGTCCTCCCAAGGCTCTTTCGTGGGCGTTTCTTCCTGCTCTTTGGGCACCTCCTGCGGGATGGATGCCATGTTGTGGTCGAGGGAGTGGATGAGCGAGTTGAGTCGCGGTAATAACTGCCCTCTAAGATATTTCGAGGTCTTGCGCGATCGTTGTAGTTGCGTATGGCAAATCTCGCACGGCATCCAGCCCCAGTACATGTAGTTACGCACCGGCTTCATCGTCGGCACCACGGGATGTCCGCAGTCGCATCGCATGCTGACCCGGCACCACGGGCAGTGAGGCTCATCGACGCTCGCGACGCCTAGCCAGTGTTGTATGCAGTCACCTCCGAAGCGGTGGCCGCAGGGCAGATATCGCCATATCTCGCGGTCGCCCTCCTCCTTGGCCTCGCCGACTTTCTCGTAGCATATCGCGCAGCAGGTATCGTCGGCGGCAGGATTAGATGCCATTTCCTGCTTACGCATGACAGACTTGAAAATGTTCATCGTCGCCGGCAAAGGGGACGGCGGTGCACAAAACCGCGTATAAGAAGCAATCGAAATTCGAAATTGGAAAGCAAGCAAATTAGCCAAGGTGGCGTTCGAGTGTTCCGGACCAACCGCGTCCTTTGTTCACTATTTTAGTCGAAACGGCGAACTGAGATGTAATGTACAACAAAGAGGACGAAGACCATGGCAGAGAGAGACTGCCACTATAGGAAGACACTGACTTTAGCAAAGCTAATCGTGCCTTGCAGATGGCACGACATTGACCTCGCCGTTAGACCGTTCCGGATTCTTGACAAGGTAGGCCATGTCTTGTTTAAAAGCAAGGTGCACGGAGCGCTACCTTAGGTGAAAGGTGTGCCGGCGGCTTGCTAGGCTATGCTTGACATGTGCGCTGGCAGCATTTAGTCCGACCTTAAGGGAACATCAAGCATTGGCTGTAGTCGTGTGACGCTTGTCAGAAGGAATGCATGCCCCTCTCTCTGGGTAGGGACCGTTTCGGTTTCCTGCTGACCTCCTCTACAAATTCGATGCCCACCTCGCTTTCGAGCAGCGCATGCGTTCTGGTGGGAAGTGAGACGCGGCGGGGGGAAGAGAAACAGAAGAGGCTGGTGTAGGTGAGGTGAGGTGAGGTGAGGTGTGATGCGTGTGGGTGAGTGAGCCAAGCGGCAAGGCCGTTCAGATAGCGAAGGAAGAAACACGAACGGCTAGGCTGGGCAAGGCGGGAGAGACATGCAGGACGGAAACACGGGCGCCTGAGCGGTGCTTGTTTCGGAGGGGTGATGGCGCCTGACTCCCACGACTCCCATCTGAGCCATACACAGACGAGATTGAACGAGACAGGCCGAAAAGTGAGGCAGCGTTTAGAGTTCAGCTGATGTCCAACTCGAAGCATTGAAATGTATGCGCATCTTGGCCACCACTGTCGCCACCTTCTCCCGCGAGCTTCCGCAAGAACAGCAGCAACCAGAAACATGCAGAAAGAACACCTTCATGGCAGAAACCGATAGTGCATCGGCTCCGGGATCCGAACGACGAGTGTGTAGGTGGTCAGTCCGGAGTGTGGATGGACGATGACAGTCTGACTTAGATCGGCCAACTGAGCCGAGAGTTCCAATCTGTTCACTCAGTCCAATGTCGCATGCCATGCAAGGCGGAAGAAACATGTCCAGTGCGGCAGCCGACCTGTCTCTGCCTCATGGTTTTCAGCTGAATATTCAGTTTCTGTCTCGTGGTCAATCAGGCTGTGAGTAACTGGTTTAGCAAGGCTGATGTGCGTATTAAGACTGATGACTACCGCCAAGATCCAGCCCCATTACGCTCGTTATTATCGTCGTCACTGTCATCGCTGTCATCTCTGAAACCTTCTTCCAGGCTGACGGTGACGTATGTTAGCATGCCAAGAGGATGCTGGGAGCGAAGCGTGCTCAACTCACTCTCTGCTTAATCTCCGCGTACTGTCGTGCCTGTTCCGCCGAGTATCGTCTGACATTGCCCTCCGCGTCTCCTCGCCAACCTCCCCCAGCTCTTCACCATCTTCGTCATCGGAAGCGTCGGTCGCAACGACGAGACGTTCGTGAGCGTTCCGGCTCCACGTAGAAGGCACCAGCATCCTCGCAATCCTATTCTGGATGCGGTGGCGTAACGAAACGGTCGAGGTCGATATCGTGTCGATGGGCAGGTACTGGCTGTAGCGACTCCGCCATCTGCGCCATAGCGGCAAAATCACATATGTCGAAACGAGGAACAGGATTAACGAGATGACGGCGGGAACGATTAGGGTCTGCAATTAAAACGAAGCTCGGTCAGCTCACGGAACGAAGGGATTGCGCGGGGGAGGTTGAGGTCGTGGGTTGGAGGTAGCGCACCTTGATCACAGACATGGTGGCGCCCATGACGGGCTAGTTGCGAGATGAGGAAGGGCGGCCGTAAAAACCAACCCTGAGTCTTTATTTGATATCCAGATTGTTGGGTTGTCGCAAGCCGTGGCGGAAGAAATTCGCCAACGCGCGGACGAAGGCTAGCAAGAAGCCTGAGCCAGAGCTGGACGGCTGAGGCAGGGCTAATTGCTGAGGTAGCCTCGCCAAGATGCTGGGCGCGGGCGCGGGTGAGAGCGTGTGCGGATAAGGTAGGCGACTGACGTGACGCGGAGCGAGGCACCTGGCGACACGCAAGCGGCAAGCACTTGGTTGCGGCCGGCGCCGGGCTAGACTCAGTCCAATGTCTGGCAGGGGCAGGCACGGTGGGCTACCTCATCAAGCTCAGGTAAGCAACGTGAGCTACAGCGTACCTGTAAGTGCCAACATGTCGTTGAAGCAATGCTTCGAAATCTAGTTCATTCTGAGAGATACTGAGAGCCATGCCTATTGGCACTATTCACATGAGCTTGACTGAGGTGCACTAGCAAGATATCTAGTGAGATCTTGCATTTTGAGCGGTTGGCTCTATGGCTAACACCGGCCTCGTAAACAGTGGAGGCTCGTGTGAATACCTGAAAGACATTCGTACCCTTCGCCCGGGAACCCAAAATTTCTTATCTAAGCTCGTAAGCGAAGGCCGAAGATAAGACACGTGCGTCTGGGGATCGCCATCTCATAGTGTGTGTCCTGAACTCGTGCCTCCGTGCTGATGTTTGACGGCGTAGGATTCGTTCCTTTTCTCTGTTTCTGTTCCTGCAGCGGCAAAGCAACGCTTGGTGAGAGATCCGGACTCATACGACCACGGCCGCAGAACGATCTGGAAGGACGCAGGGACCAACAATAAACCAAAGAAAATACGGGAAGAGACAGGCAGTCGTTCGTCGTCGTCGTCATGGTCAAGGTCGAGGCCGAGGTCGAATTCTTCCAAGATTCCCATCAATATCGCTTAAAGTGCTGGGCCGTAATGGTGGGAACCCCGGAGAACATTGATGCCAAACATAGACAGGTACCCCCGCTGCCAGCTTTGCATGTGGAGGTACGTGGTTCGAGACCCCTTCAGTGATGCTCGAAATGGAAGGCTGCCAGCAGGCATTGTTATTGGGGGCTCAGGGGTCTTTTTTAGCCTCAGAACCACAGCGAAGGGTGGACGGCGCTCGGGGGCCCTCTGCTGAACCGTCCACCAGATGGACTCCCACACTGCAGCGACTTCACCCAATAAAACCGGGTTTAGGCAGGCGGATACCGAACCCGCAAGGAACCGGCGCATCCACGACTGACGAATGTGAAGAAGGGAAACGGGATTCGGTGCGCGTGAACTTCTGAAGAGCAGCAGCTGACGGACTGAGCCGCCGAACTCTCGATCTGATTTGACCAAAGAAAAAAGCACGTCAAGGACTCAAGCTCCAGCTTGACGTGCGGCGGGCGACCTAGCTTCCAGGCTTGCAGATGCCGATGGCGATCTTTGGCGTACGCGGTTTGGCTCGCCCACGGACTTGGATTTATCTGGTCCGTTCTTGGTCTGTTCTGGCTGTCCGGACTCTGATCTCTGCCAATGTTGGCGCCGGTCTTTGGTCGCTCAATTCACCCAACCCCTGAGAGGCACAGCAAGCCCAGCATTGCAGTGGCCTCCCTTCCCTCCCCTGCGTCAGTAGGTCAGGTAGGTATGCAAGAGGTAGCATCGCATCAACGAGAAGCCAATATCGAATATCGAAAAGTCCCGCCCGATTGCCCCAGTGCTCCAGCGTCCCGCAGACCACAAGTCAAGCACTTGCAGCGACTGCAATGACTGCGCCAACAATATCTCCACTGTTGGCGCCGGATCTGTTCAAGCTTCCGTATTACGGCGCATTCAAAGTGCGTTTTTGGGAGTTGAGGCGTCGTTCATCGCCCACAGTCCGAGGCGCCGATTCCGTGTCTTTCGCTTTCCTCCTCGCCTCGCCTTGACTGTGACACTTGACACATGCGTCTTTTTGCTTTCACCATCTCGTGTTTCTATCTCGGTTGACTCTGCTTTTGCCTCGCTCGACCCTCCACATTCTGCTCCATTCCAGCTGTCACTGCTGCAACGCTTTGGGTCGTCGGTGGCCAAGTCAACCAATACCTTACTCCCGACACGGGCACACAAAGAACGAGTCTGGACTTCGCGGTCGGCACCAATCTTCACCTCGCCTTACGTACCCGTCCTCCCGCCGCCCTACGTACCCAGAACGTCCCCCTCCCCCCCCAAAACGCTCAGGCGGTTTTCGCAAAAGGAACTCGCACATCTGCTGCCCCTGAAGTGTCAAGTCAATCGCGGCCCCTTGTCGAGCCCCGTTTCATCAGGGGACTCCGCACTTGCAACGTCGTCTTCGGTCTTGTCCAGTCTTTACGGTACTGTCACGGCCTTGCCCTGCAGACACGAGAGATATACACTGAGAAACAGAGGGCAAATACCACTCAGAGAGGGAGAGCGGCAGAGAGCGTGCGCGCACACACGTCCACTCCTTCGTCTTCCCCTCCCCCATGTTTGTCGAATTTCCCTGATCAACGCCGCTGGGCACTAAAACTGGTAGTCAACTGCCGTTCGCCAGCGAACGCCCTCTTCCCGCCTAAGGCTCAACAAGCATCGGAGAGCATAGAGACGGCTAAGGGATTCAGGAAGGTGTGCTTGTGTTGAAGGAACGAACCTGCGCCTCGAGGATCCAGCTGCCCGTTTCCCCCTTCCCTACCCTCACGTGGGAAACCTTGACCTCAGCCCAAAACACATACGGCAATCCCCGTCGCCGTCCGCCGTCCACCTTACCTTTCATCGCCAACCTGCCAGCACCAGGAGGCCATCAGCCTGCCACCAGCTTTGCTTTGCGAGTGCCTTGCCTCTGCTCCGCGACACAGCTACACTCCTTCGGACAAACCTGACCTGGCCTTGGATACCCGGCAGCCCTCAATCGCACACGTTGTGACACACCACCTTCTTTTTTTCGCGACTCGATCTTCAAGAGTCGTTTCCATTTCCTGATCAACCCCCGGCGGCCCCATCCACGCCGGTCGCTCATCTAATTCGGCGCTTACCCAACGAAACAACGCGCAAGACTTGAGCGACCGTTTCGACAGTCTCTCTCTTTCGCCAGTCCGCCCGGCAGCGACTTGTCGCATTCCCAAGGCGACGAAATGTATGTCCATTGTCCACGTCCACGCTCGCTGTGTGTTCCAGGGGTTCCCCTCCCCGCCAATCCCCGTCCCCGACTCCCAAACCTCTGTCTGCTTCGATCCAAACTTGGGCAGAAGACATGCTAAAACATAACCGATTCATGCGAACAGAGATCCAACGCGCCACATTTGCAGAGACACATCCCAACACCTACCAGAGGGCTCCACGTTGACGGGTAGAGCTTCAATCATGCGACCGGCCTTGGCCACCATTCTCGCCCGAACTACCCAGTCCCGTCAGTCTTGAACCTGAAGATACCGTACCCTTACGCACCGATCGAGCCTTACGTGAGAGGACCAGGTGTTTCACCTGCCTCCCAGTCTACCCTCGCCCACCATGTCTTCCACCGACAAGTCGAGGCAGTCCTCGGGAGGGAAATCTTTCTTCTCGCGGAACAGGAAAGATAAACGCAACACCAGCGACGAAGGCCGCTACTTGGCTGGAGGCGCCGACAACTTCGATACCGCCAGCATACACTCCCGTGCCTCTCGACACCATCGCGACTCGTCTTCCGTCTCAATCGACCAGTTCCCCGACTCCGGCCTGTCGGCTGGGCCAATGACCAGTATCCCCTACGAAGCCGTACCCGATTCTCGATCCCCAGTACCGGTCGAATACTTGCCCAAGCCCGACCAAATCGCGCTGCTGCGCGGCGGCCCTTCGCCACATCATCTCAACAAAGGTGGTGACTTTCACCAATATCCCAACTTTGATCCATCCAGCATGGCGGGCGGATCGAATAGTTCGCGGACTCCGCAGTCGAACATCACAATGGCGAGCACTGGTCGCCAGACGCAATACCAGCAGTGGGGCCCAGGGCCGGCTCGCGTTAGCATGGCGAGCACAATCAATGGGTCCCACAACCCCAGATACGATTCGTACATGACATCGGGGGGTCGAAGTTCCGCTGACCAAGCCAGCATATTCTCATCAGGTAATGGAGGCACCTTAGACAAGACCGCAAATCGCTCATCAAGACCAGCACTACCCAGTGCTTCATCGCAGAGTTCCTATTCCTCGCACACGTCCTATAGGGACTCGTCACACCCATCCTCGCACCGACTGACAAAATTTCCCGGCATGGTTCCGACTGGACACGATGGCTTCCACTTCCCCCGACCGGACAACGACGACATCATCAACCAGATGTTTCTGGCTCTGATGCAGAAGAGAGGATGGCACAATTTACCCGAACAGGCTCGTCGCCAAATGGTCGCGTACCCGCCCGACAAGAAATGGACGTTGCTTTACCAGGACCGGTTGACCGAGTGGCAAGGAGAACAAAAGAGGAGGCAGACAGCAAAACCGAATCAATACGCGACTCCGGAAATCTTGGTAAACTCGGACGAGGAAGGATCGCCAGAATGGTACGTCCGACGTGTGATGGATAACAGCTTGGACACGAAGGGCCTGGGAAGTCTGGAGGTCAACCTCAGAACGCAACAAATAGGATGGGTCAAGCGCTTCATCGAGTGTCAGGGTCAGGTCGCGTTGACAAACGTGTTGATGAAGATCAACCGCAAGACCGCCCTCGGACCGGCACCAGACCAGAAGGCTGACAGGCATTTGGATCGCGAATACGATATCATCAAGTGTCTCAAGGCCTTGATGAACAACAAGTTCGGCGCCGACGATGCCCTCGCACACCAGCAGGTTATGATCGCACTCGCTACCTCGCTTATTTCTCCGCGTTTGACAACACGAAAGCTGGTCAGCGAAGTCCTTACGTTCCTGTGTCATTGGGGAGAAGGCGAAGGCCACTTGAAGGTTATCCAAGCCCTTGACTCCGTCAAAGCTCAGCAGGGAGAAAATGGCAGATTCGACGCCTGGATGCGACTCGTCGAGGTCACCGTCGATGGACGAGGAAAGATGGGCAGTCTGGTAGGAGCCAGTGACGAGGTCCGGAGTGGTGGTATCGGCATGGAGAACCTGTTGATGGAATATGCAGTCGCTACGTTGATTCTCATCAACATGATTGTCGATGCCCCTGAGAGGGATCTTCAGCTGCGGATGCACATTCGCGCGCAATTCACAGCATGCGGCATGAGGCGAATCCTCACCAAGATGGAGTCGTTCCAATACGACCTCATTGACAAGCAGATCGAGCATTTCCGGTCCAACGAGGCTATCGACTATGAGGACATGCTGGAGAAGGAAAACAGCAGCATCAAGGACAGCGTCGAAGGAGAAGTCAAGGACCTCAACGACCCTGTTCAGATTGTTGATGCCATCCAGCAACGGTTGCGGGGAAGCAAGACTCAGGATTACTTCATCTCAGCACTCCAGCACTTGTTGCTCCTTCGTGATAACGATGGCGAAGAACGACTGCGGACATTCCAGCTCGTGGACTCCATGCTCAGTTACGTGGCCATGGATCGGCGTTTGCCGAACATGGACCTGAAGCAGAGTCTCAACTTCACCGTTCAGAGTCTATTGGATAAGCTGCACACGGATTCCGAAGCCCGCCAGGCCTTGGACGAGGCCGTAGAGGCAAGGCAAATTGCCGATGCTGCTATGGCTGAGAGAGACGAGATGAAGGAGAGGATAGAGCTGGGAGCTGATGGACTTGTGGCGAAATTGCAGAAGCAACTGGATGAGCAGGCAAGGTTTATTGATGCTCAACGTCGCCAAGCCGAAGGTCTCAAGGCTGAGTTGGAAAACATCCAGACGTTGCGTCAGAAAGAGGCTCAGCGTTATGAGTTAGAAACGAGAGAGCTCTACCTGATGCTCCGCGATGCGCAAGATGTGGCTGCTTCTACTGCCATCAAGGGTGCTGGCAGCAAGCTCGGAGAAGAAGACCCGGCTAAGATGCAAGGAATCCTGGACCGTGATCGTCTCATGGAGCGTCTGCAGATGCAGATTGAGCGACAGAAGACACAGTTCAAGTTGGAGGGTAGAGTATGGGGTGAGGCAGTCGGACCATCTGACAGACTTCGCGCTCTCCGCGAGGAGATGGACGACAGCGCCATGGCTGGTTCCGGACCTGGCACGCCGCCTCGAGACTTCACCAACAGCATGCTTGGCAGCGTCAACCGCAACACCAAGATTGCCCGCAAGCCTGTCCAGGGCCGTGAGCTTGTCGAGGGTGAGCTGCTCGAGACCGAGGAATATGAAGATGAAGATGGCGTTGTCTACGAGAGACCCAGAGTTGTCGAGATCCGCCGCCCCGTCATGGACCCCAGCCAAAAGGCTGGCCTCTTTGGCGAAATGGCCGGCAAGGTCAAGAGATACGATGCCGACAGCGACTCGGAGATGGGCGAGGGTGCCACTACGGGTCCCTCTCACCCCAGTCTCGAATCAGGCTCGCCCATCACGCCCGCCGAAGGAGAGCCTCCCAAGATCCAGGTCACCGGTGCTGGGGCGCCACCTCCGCCACCTCCCCCGCCTCCTATGCCTGGTCAAGCCGGTGCCCCTCCGCCGCCACCGCCTCCCCCGCCCATGCCTGGAATGCTTTCGCCGACCGGTGCCCCCGCTCCGCCGCCTCCTCCTCCGCCCCCGCCTATGCCCGGGGCTGCTGGCGGACCCCCTCCTCCTCCGCCCCCTCCGCCAATGCCTGGTGCCGCTGGAATGCCTCCTCCGCCACCTCCTCCGCTGCCTGGAGCTATCTCTGGACACTTCTTGTCACAAGCTACGCCCAACTTTTCCTCCGCGCCCTCTCTCGGCCTGCCTGCAGTTCGCCCGAAGAAGAAGCTCAAGGCTCTTCATTGGGACAAGGTTGATTCTCCTATGACAACTCACTGGGCTGCGCATGCACCGTCCGCTGAGGAGCGCGAAGAGAAGTACATCGAACTGAGCAAGAAGGGTATCCTGGATGAAGTCGAAAAGCTCTTCATGGCCAAGGAGATCAAGAAATTAGGGCTTGGTGGTGGTGGGAAGAAGGACGACAAGAAGCAGATCATCAATGGTGATCTTCGCAAAGCCTACGGTATGTGTTTTGCGTATTTGAATGTGTCCGCGATGCTAACTATTGGTAGAAATTGCGTTCGCCAAGTTTTCACAATATTCTGTTGATAAGATTGTGCAAATGATCATCCACTGCGATAAGGACATCTTGGATAACCCCGTGGTCATGGACTTCTTGGGCAAGGATGACCTTTGCAACATTCCGGACAATACGGCTAGGCAGTTGGCTCCCTACAGCAAAGACTGGACAGGTGCCAACCCGGACAAGGCGGACCGCGAACAAGACCCTGCTGAGCTCACCAGACAGGACCAGCTTTACCTTTACACTGCCTTTGAGTTGCACCACTACTGGAAGGCCAGAATGCGTGCTCTGTCCCTGACTAGGAGTTTCGAGCCAGAGTTCGACGAAATTACCGATAAGATGCGTCACGTTGTAGGCGTATCTGAGTCTCTGAGAGACTCTGTATCCTTGATGAATGTCCTCGGTCTTATTCTGGACATTGGAAATTACATGAACGACGCGAACAAGCAGGCTCGCGGTTTCAAGCTGAGCTCCTTGGCCCGTCTCGGCATGGTCAAGGACGACAAGAACGAGTCCACCCTGGCTGATCTCGTCGAGCGTATCGTCCGCAACCAATACCCTGAATGGGAGGACTTCTCCAATGACATTTCTGGAGTCATGGCTGCTCAGAAGATCAACATCGAGCAACTTCAATCCGATGCCAAGCAGTACATTGACACCGTCAAGAATGTCCAGATGTCGCTCGACGTGGGCAACCTGAGCGATTCCAAGAAATTCCACCCACAGGATCGTGTGAGCCAGGTCGTGCAGAGAATTATGAAGGATGCAAGGAGAAAGGCCGAGGAGATGTCGCTATACTTGGAGGAGATGATGAAGACCTACAACGACATCATGGTTTTCTATGGCGAAGACCCTGCAGACGAAAATGCTCGCAGAGACTTCTTCGCCAAGCTTGCCATGTTCATCGGCGAGTGGAAGAAGTCCAGGGAGAAGAACATAAAGTACGAGGAGCAGCGCCGACGCAACGAGGCTTCCATGAAGCGGAAGCACCAGCAGCTCAACGTCGCAGGCGGCAAGGTGGAGGGTGCGCCTCCCTCACCCTCAAGTGCTGGAGCCATGGACTCTCTGTTGGAGAAGCTACGTGCTGCTGCGCCCCAGACGCGAGACCAGAGAGATCGCCGCCGCAGGGCAAGACTCAAGGATCGTCATCAGGTGCGTATAGCATCTGGACAAAAGATTCCCGATCCCGACGAAAACCCGGAAATCGAGGCAAACCTGGCACAACCGCCCAAGGAGAACCCCATCGACGAGGATGGCAACC